GTGCGGCAACTAACTAAAACCACTGCATTCTGGTCGAAAAAAAAACTAACATTATGTGCTTCTAAATAAACAGAATAATAGTGCTGCATGCGCTTAAAGAAAGAGGCAAACGAGATGATTAGTTTAGCAGATTCTAAAGAGCACCCTCTTATCTGAAACGAGAAGAGGAAATTGAGATCGGGGTTTGTCCTAGCAGTTTATGGAAGAACATCTGAAATTTTAAACACTTAGAAAAATTAAGTTTTTTCCGAAGCAGGTCTTGAGATCGTAGCGACCTATAATAGAAATCAGTGGTGCGGAATATGAGCGACTCCGGGAACGTAGTGGTATAAATCGGAACGTGAGAGTGTTCTAACGACAAGAGATTATCGTCTAGTGACTGGGAAGTGACCACAACCTCCTTCGTGCCGAAAGCAAGATAAATAAAAACAAGTAAGAGATAAAAATAAAAGCATAAACATTGGCTAAGCTGACACAGAAAAGCACGGCAAAATGTCACCAAGGGTATAATTGGGACTTAGATCTATTTTTAGTTTCACAGCTATAGCCAGTTCCCCAAGTCACGACACACTAAGAATAAAGGCAGTAAAGAAGAGCGAATGTGCGTTAATAAAGGATTTCAAACGAAAGGAAAGCTTGGGTTTCCCGTGAGCTGAACTATCGATGTACGTGTTTACCCACGTATAGTTTCTGGAAGGGCTTACCGTACAGTTTATCTAGCCACAAACAAATAATCCATATAAAATATTTCTGTTGTTTAGTCTTTCGTTGCACAAAGCAGCGGTATAGGTAATATTGAGAGTATACCTAGAGAAGCAGGCAATATTATGGATAACCTTAAAGCTTCCCCCTATAAGGCAGACTACGAAATGTGTGTGATATGACATTGTTTATTTGGCTCGATACCAGTTGCTGTACATTGATATGCTGTACGCATATATGGCAGGCAGGAAATCTATTTGAAACGAGGATTCCCTCTAGGAACCCTAAAAAGGGGAAGTTCAGCTATAAAGGTCGTCGCCCATCAACGCTGGTGCAGTTAGTAATGGTTTGTTGGGAACAGATTTTCGCATGTGATATCCATAGCATCAAGGACGTCGTCTTTTTGCCGTCATTTATACCGTACCGTTGGGCCTATTTCATTAGGTTTAACCATAACCATCGAGGATGTCACTTGCGTAATGTTAGCAGTTGGTCTGACCATGCCAACAATTTAGCTTATTGTTTCTAACCGTTAGATGATCGCCAAAATAATCTATTTAGTTTTGAAGTTAGAGTTGTAAGTGAACACATAAGTTATAGCCAGAAAAACCCTATATAAATGGAACGTAGTTAGGTTTGCCGTACAATATAAGTTACGGTAGTTATAGCTGATGTTAATTTGCGATATACAAGATCACCATTAATAGTCGGTTATAGTCGGCTGCATATGGCGCTCTGAGCTACATTTTCGCTTCAGCGAAGAAACTGAGAAATGGTTAGTTAGCCGGTTTAATCTGTCCTTCTTGGGATATCGGTCCTTGCAAGGCCTATTATTACATTTTCGTGTCATTTGGCCGTCAAAGCCATAAATGAGGTCGACGGTGTTGCGAACTCGCAGTGCCGTTACTAATTGCTGGCTCCGTGTGTACAAAGCACAGACCCAAATACCAACGAGTTCTGTTATTTTTTGTTGCTTGTCGATACTTTCTTGTGTAAGCTGTTTACTGTCAAACGCACGATCCTGCCAGGAAGATTGTAATCTCATTGGATTGGATCTGATATAACCTTTTTACTAGAAAGTAAGCCAATGAATAACGCACGTAAACAGAATAAACGGAAAATACGATGTATACATTGGTCATGAATGAAATCGTTTAGTTAACTCCGTTCCTTAAACGGCAATAGTAGGGACGACAAGATATGCGCTATTCGACAAGTAGGATTAAACTAGCATCGTTACATACATGTCAAGTAAGGCAGTTACGAGAAATACTTTTATAAAGCTTCTAGTTTTTCGAGAGTAGCATTCAGCGCAGGTAGGTTTGTGTTCATTAACTCAACTGCCAAACCTTAAACCTATAGTAAACACTATAGTACATTTTATACGCTTAGCAAGAACCTTTTCGACCTGACAATCGCATGAGAATAATTGCCGCTGAGCAAACTAAGACCAGCTTTGAATCAGTAATTTTAAATCTGACCCAGTCAAAAAAACTACAATAAAATTGAATGATTATCATTTTTACGACGAACCAGTTTATAGCTCTAGGCTGACGTTGCGTTAACAAACCTACAAATGTGATGATAGTTCGGTGCCGAACCACTCATTGTCTGTTTCATCAATTTCCTTTGCGGTATCAAGCGGATACCGAATGTACGACCTATAACATAAATACTGGTACTTATATGTCAAAGCTTGATGCATGTACAGCTAAGACGTCACATGTACGACATGGGACATCAAACGTACGCCTTGCTACGCGTGTATATAGCACACTAAGCCGGGCGCGATGTTTTGCTATTATTATTATTGACATCACTTCGCAAACGGTAGTCAGATTCCGAATCACGGCTCTTATCGAAAAAGTATTAATATAAACACTATTTTGGCAAAGAGATGCTGAAACCATCTGGCCAAGCAATGGCTGGCTGCTTCTTATAGTGACCTTTTTCCTACGTCCTTCCGACAACCAACCCCTTTAACCGTGGCTGGCTGTAGCGTTGACTCAATTGGCTATATTGAACAAACTCTTTTGTTCTCTCGTTTCTGTCTTCAGCACTTTCGCACAGCAGTCTGTCGCTTAACCCATTTTAAACAATGGATCTTTGCACTGCAATAAAAATAGTAAGTACAACAACAGCAGCAGCAGCAGCAGCAAAAACGTCTCCTGCAGGATCAAGACTAAGGCAGACAATCACTTCGTTTTGTTTGCCCTATACTCTCTTCAACATCGTTCATGTTTGTCCTGCAGTTTGACAACGGCAATCCCCACCACTGAACGGCTTTTTTTCATCGACTTCTTCTTCTGAAAGTCTGGCATAACGAGGGCCGCTGTCGATGGCACTAGTCGGAAACGCGATAGACCAATTCGACATTAGACTGAACTTCCTGCAACTTAACCGATTCGCAACACGCATTACAAGGCATGCCGATATCGGTCGGTTCGCCGGCCGGCCTATGACTGGCTGGCCAGGGCCTAGGCTGCCCACCATTTGATCTACTATGCGAAAAGTACATAGCCCTTTCGCTTGTTGCCTTTTTGCTTGTGTCTTATGTGTATCTTGGCGTGTCCTTGTTCCAGCAAATGTTGTGGTTGTTGTCATACAAGAGGATCGAGGTTGAGCGCTGAAAGAAAGCTCCTACAAGAGTAGCAAGGGTAAGGAACAGGAGCTATTGGACATCATCCCGTAGCTGGTACGTTTGTCATCATTCTTGTCAACAGTTGGCGATACTTTGAGCATGGAAGCCTGCAGAGTCAGGTGCTTGGTCCTTTGCTAGATGCCAGCCTGGCTAACCTGCTAACTAGATATTTGTCGGTACAGGAGCGTCACCGGACCGCGCTGCCGCGGCGTAGCCTAACAGAAAACAGCTGCTGTCAGCAAAGACAGGCGATTATCCGGAGATCGAAGCGCCTGTAAGTGACAAGCTCATGTATAAAGCAGTAAAAGGACTGCGAGCTGTACTCGATCGGCCTCTTCTATTTCACAGCGTTGTTGCTATGCGTTTGCTGAAAGAAGTGATGAAGAAGGGGGGGGGGGGAGAATGAGCGAGGGACCGAGGGGCGTATGTTCATACGCGCATTTTCTTTCTCTTTGAGTTGCTCATTGTGGGTGCAATGAGCTGCATCTACGATTTAGTAGAGATGCGGATACTATGTGCAATAGGCGTAGATTTCCACAACATCTTAAGGGGCTAACAGTGTTTATATAAAAGAGGCTTTATGTAAATGCCACATATATACATAATGATGTGGTTGGCTAACATGAGGGAAAGGTGCGCCTTTCTTAAACGCACCCGGTACTAACTTTCTGGAACTATCTTTAGGTGATGCGAATGACTGAGCACTATCAGAGATATGCCTTTGATACTGGATTTTATTTTGAATGAGAACCTTGTCCTTTGAAGATAATGGATAATTTAGATCTGCAATAACAACCCAGAAACTATGGATAGGTATAGTATAACTATGTATTCTTCTTTCGTATTTTTCTGCAGTTCGCTTCCTACAAGTTCTCGTTTATCTTTTGTATACGAAACTGCATCTGTAAAGAAAAAAAATATGTGCTGAGAGATCTGGTTGCCTGCCACCCTGTAGGCTATTCCCGTATGTGCCTCACGGGTATTTCGCTCCCCCGCGAACTCGGTTTCAGTAACCCCACATTCTCATTCCACGTAACGACCGAGCCATCAAACTATGTGGAGTAGATAAACGGTCTGAAAACTGTGACAACAGTACCGCTTTGCGGGATCAGCCTAAGTGTAGCTAACAACATACGTATGTTGCTTATTTCCTGTTCCTTTTTGTAAACCGACCATGGATCGCATAGACGGTAAACGAACATCGCTTTGCATGGCAGTGTACAGTTCGTGTTCTATGGTTGTACCTATCGTATTCCAAAGGCTCTGTTCTGTCTAGCAGCCTATCCGCTTGCCTATCGGCGCACTAAACCTCACGCTTCTTTTGCAGAAAAGTTGTTGAGACAGACTCGGCTGTCCGTTACTTTTCTGACAAGCAGAGTTGGGCAAGCTTGGCCATCGCTTGCCACTGTTACTGCGACGTTCTGTTCTTCTCGTGGCCCGCTCTCATTGCAAGGCCAGCCAAGAGACCTGTTTCCTCTGGAGAAACAAGATCCGAAGCGGCGAGGTCGATCCATTGCTGGAGAGGGCAACCGTCGGATGTTGAAAGAAGGGAGAGGGTCGACGTGTGCGGCCTACGAGTAGAGGCAGGTCTTCCGCTCGGCCGGTAGGCTCGCGCGGTGCAGGACGCTACGATCAGAGAGTGTACGACAGCGAAACAGCGTGTGCGCACTCTGCGAGATCCGTAACTGGTGGGAGTCACCAAGAGTCAGTAGCAAAAGTACGGGAACGGAAAAGTTAAACCGCGCAGGCCTCAGACATGCCCTTGCTGCAAGAAGCCTCTGTACGACAACAATGCTATTATTATAGCGGTCGTGGCGCGTCGAGCACGTATGAGAGAAAGCGGCACGCTGTCGCTAGACTTTGATGATACCCCCACGAGATTCAGCAGCAGGGCGCGGCTACCCGGTTGTCCAGTATTGTGTTTGCGATTGTCAACATAATCGCACTTGTTGTTGTCGCTCCCGTCAACGTCGTTGTCGTTGGCGCATTTGTCGTTTGCGGCTTTGATGTTATCGTTGTTTTTGTTGTCGTTGTGCTTCAGACCGTAGCGTAAGCATCAGCAGCAGCAACGTGGCCAATTGGCCTGCGCTTTTTTGGAGTAGCGACGCCGATGGTGAAGGATAGATTTGGAGCGGCATGAAGCGAACCGCTCCTACTGAACTACCGCATGCACTGTGAAAAGTGAGAGGGTGAGTTGCGCCCATTACCGTGTCCTTACCTGGCAGAGTGACTGTAAATTATGGCACAGCTGACAACAGCAAAGGCAATATCAGTAACGTAATAGAGGCCTAGATCTGCAGGGACATCCTGAGTGGCAGTGTGTGTAGCGTATTGGGTGCTCCTATGCAGGTGAAATCGTCGTATAGGACAACACGTATAGGACGTCAGAAGATAGAATTTTATTCATTGTTTGTCGTACTTTTGAGATATTACTCGCGGAAGGATTAAACATACATGGCAAAGTAGTGACGATACACGAAACGTCAATTAAAATGTGGGTAATGTGATATGTGAAATGGAGAGAAAAGGCTAAAAAGTCGTGTACTGGCATTGTTGTGTAGAAACTAGGAAACGTTTTCCTAGTTTTCAACGGGAACGAACCAGTTTGTAGGAAATGCCTTTGATGTTTTTGCTGACACTTGCGACGCTTAGTAGGCCTGGACAAGGTAAAAAGCACGCCTCTATATATACACACACACACACATATATAGACATGTTACGAACATTTTGTATGGTAAGGTAGTAAGAGTATTGTATAAGAGAAAAAGTGTTGACAGTCTCTTAAGCCAGGTGACTTCAAAATTACGTATTTAAGATAATATGAGTTCTTTAAGGTAAGTAATGAAAGCCGAGATTCGGCAGTAGTAGTAGTAGTAGTAGTTTGTTGCAATACATTTATTGAACGTCTATGGTTTAAAGCATCTTGAAGATGATGAAATTTCTATAAGATCGATGTAAAGGATGCTCTTTTAGGTGGTCGATCGAAAATGTTGATGACGTTATTACGAATGTTGAGCAAGACTGACACGTGGGTAACCATGATACCGCTTAGGAACTGGACACGTAGTACCACACAGCTTTCAACAAAAAGGAGTTCGATATTTAGGTGCCACACGAATTGATGGACAGATAATTACTCGATCGTATTTCAATTTGTATCACAGTAATTTTACTTCAAGGTATAAAAACTATTCGCATTACTTTTGGCCTAACAGAGTTGATACTATCTCGACAACACTGTACATATACATTGGAAAACACACAATGGACCGTATTACATTGTGGTTAGATGATATAATTCAGAATCGATTTTATAGACTTCATGAAATCACTGTACAAACCACCGGACAGCGACAACTGAACGAAAAGTACACATTGAAAACAAGGCAGACGAATCAAAGCTAGATTGGCGGGTAATTTATTGTCAACGTTTTGCTTCACTCGCCCTGTACTTTGCACATTTATCTATAATGAAGGCATCTCAACACGGAGCCGCTCGCTGTTACAGCCGAGTTTGAGCTCGAGTGCTGTTGATAAAAAGTGAGCAGGCACCATCTATTCGGGACAGCTCACAGGCCACAACTCAATGATTGCCTAATCGGTGTATGTGACGACTTTTGGCCTGAGCCTATAACTAGCAAAAAGGTAGAGAACATCGTTGCAACCCTCCCAATCCGACGCCGTTCAACAATGACGATACTGCGTACATATTTTTGTTTACGACTTTTCGTGTAGACTGGCTGCCGCTGTATTTTATAATATATTAAACAGTTCTGCCGAAAAAGTAGTTGCATTAGGAGACAAACGCCAAAGCAGACCTCTCTGTGAGCTTTTCCAAAATATATATCAAAATGTTTAGCTAAGACAAGTTTTTCTGCCACGTCACACACTGTTTGTCCCTTTATCCTTTAAAATGTCCATTGCTGAAGAGAACTAGTTATAAAAAAATTCTTCCATTGACAATTGGGCCGGCAAAATAAAAAGTGGGCAAAAAAAACTTTGTCTAGTTAATTTTTATATGAAGGGATTTCTCAAGATGAATGGCCGAACGTTTGAAGAACACTGCAATGATAGGAAACGGCCTTTACTTCTTCACCACTTATATATGAAAGCAAAATATGATTTCGACAATGTTTAGCCAACAGGCGAGTTACACAAGCATAAAAAATTTTTATAACAAGAAACATGGAAAGAAATGGCTTGCAGCGAATGTAATGAACAAAAAAACTGAAGGGATTTGATAAAGATATATATACATGCGAAAAGATTGCTACTAAAGGTAAACATTCGTCTCTTCTCACCAGAAGTAATACTGATTATACAACTAAAAACATACACAGTAAAAAAATAAATATAGAAAATTATTTGAGCTTTAATCGAATTTCTGGTGTTTTATTTGAGAGGTATGGAAAAAAGGGGTGGTTATAACGCGATGAAAGCTAATTCCAGATCTCTGTACCGTCATCTCATCTAAAGAGAGGCTTTCCGGACCACGTCGACGGAAAGAGCGAACCCTATTTGAGGTATAAGCCTAATTAGACTCCGGTAGCTTGCGGTATGCGGTGCCTAGGTAATTCCTCCGCCGCATCATCATCATCAACGCAGCGGTGGTCGTACCTTAGACAGGACCTTTGATACATCATGATGTAGGCCTTCCATGTATTACTGCGGCAAATAGGAACTTAGAGCACTGCCTTTGCTATTTATCGCTACTGGAAAAGTCAAGTTCCTCTACAATACCAAAATAAAGGCTGGTCCGTAACCATAAGCGAAATCAGGTGGAAAAATATATTCAAAGTTCTTCTAAGTTCCGAAGTTTATCTCAATATTTCCACCTGTTATAAAGCGATGTAATTTTATAAAATTGATGATTATTTTAAGCAGTTAACTAGCATAGTTTTTAGGTCAGTATTGATTAACAGTTGCACTAGTTGTGACCGTAAAAGTGCACAGAGCTGTGTTCTCTTCATAGATGCAGGAAGGATCTGTATCGTGTCGCATTGCTATGGTGAGCCCCTTATTCGAAGCCAGCCTTTATCCAACGTCTTCACAACCACTTTAACATCACAACGATGTTGAACAAATCATCGCAACATCACAACGGCCGTCTGTTATTGCCAAATAGCATGTCGATACGTACGTATCTTGTCGATAAGCGATACGTAACCATCTTAACTTTATGGTTGAGCATCTTTACAATAACTCGTTGTGACGCCCACACAACAAAATCCCTTTCTACGTGCTAAAATATCCATTAAGCTCTGAATGGCTTTCAGCTTTCAATTCGGACTCTAAATAATGGGTTTATCTGATACAAGCATAACGCTTTTCCATAGCTTCATCAAACTGTGCACACAAACCCAAAATCACCCAAGCGAATCTGATAGCAGCAGAACATCAAGCGTAAAGTTAACGGTACGATACGCTGAAGTAAGCACTAGCTTTAACGATTATTATAAAAAGAATGCGGGATCTTATCATAGTAATTTATTTGACAATACGTTTTGATGAAGTTATGTTACCTATAATTTATGTTTTGACCCAAATGCTAAATTATCTTACCTTAATGAAAGACTCTCTCTAAATTAAATCACTGATTTAATTGATATCCAGTTGGGCATGAAGAACCCTGATTAATTCAACATTTATGAACAATGACCGATCGCTGTTGTGAATGTTAATTAGATTTGTGGTTAATACGGACGTACACGTCAGGCTTGCTGGGACTTAAGGTCATCCCCTTAGTCCAATTGAACTGGTCGCTTATGTGTTCCGGCCATGCAACACATTCATTACTCTTTATGGGTCCAGGATCTAGATCAATACTGTGAAGGTCTCTGGCAGGTCAGTAAAATGTCTGCTGAGCGCACGTTAACAAAAGTTGCGGCTCGATCAACATTTTTATTGTAGCTTGATAGATATATATGGCTGAGAAATAATTTTTTCCGAATAAAACAGTCAGTTTTCAGGTTTTTTTTGAAAGGCCCCAGCAAGCAAAATGATTCCGTTTAGTTTCCGACTCTTCAGTAGTTTAATCCGCTTCTATCTCATAAAATGTCTATACAAATAAATCATAGTAGCTGCCAATCTTTGCGTTTCGTCTGTTCTATTCTGCTAATTGAATGGATGGAGTGATACGTCCTTCACTTTTATTTCGTTGAACTTGAAGCAATGGACATCATCTTACCGCTGAACGAATCCGCAAGCGATAAAATTATGCAAACACACTGCTACGATAGAACAACAAACTTCATTGCAAACTTCTGCCACGATCAGTTATATGAGCTGGGATCATTATTCACGGGCATTAGGGCACCTGTCGTATCGAACTTGGCTTCGAAAGACAAACTCTACAAGTTCAGATAAAGTCACCATTAATTTCTTTAAACAGTTGCTGATAATTCCTAAATTGATTTGTGAAATAAGAGCCCAATTGTTTGAAATAGTTAGAAACTACTTGTGTCGGAATGGACTCCACCACTTAAAACCGGCTACGGCCTTTTAGCTACAAACAGCCAGCTTCAACAAATCGCTGCTTCCACCGAGCGAAGGAAAGCTGTGAACTAGTCGAGCTTGTGGCATTGTGCCTAGGCAGCATGCTGATCGACGATTAGCGGCTGTGTTCGAATGAAACGCTGAGTACGGATTCCATAACGGATAATGAAGTTACCAAGATGATGTAACCTTAGAATATCAGAGAGCTATGCCAGCGTATGTATACTGGCCACGGATCAATCAAAACATCTAGACGCTGGGTCACATGTGCAACATCAAATAATTCGATCCAGCTTGGGTTACGGTCGTGGCGAACCTGCTCTAATCCGTGAAAACAAGTCAGAATAATTCGTAGCTGGTCATAGGCGATACATTTGCTAAGACAAGGGGTCAAGCGCCTCATCGTCGGCTACGATGTTCTTTACTATTCACAGTATCTTGGGCAGTTGGTCATCATCTCTGGGATCTAACTCACGTCAGAGGGATCTTTGGTTTCGCCTGCGATGAGGCCATCGATTTGGGTCGCTCATTGCCGTCCGACGTTCAATGTAACGGCCAAGCGTAGCGGTTAGCAAGTCCAGCGACGAAGATAACTGGGTGCCCTCTTGATGTTCTTGGAGAGCAGTCTTAACAACCCGCCCGACGTTGTTGGTAAATAAACGCCAGAAGAGCTGTTGCTCGGTTGGCCCACATAGACAGTGCTGGGCCTACGTAGGCCGAGCAAAAGGTTGCAAGACGACCTCGAATAGATGCCGGCAATCACTATGTACACGGTTCAGGCCGACGAATTGAAATGTATCCATCACGCCAGCCACTGCCAGTACTGAGTGCGAATAGACCTGTACGAGGTTTTGCTGGAAGCATGGGGTTTCTTTGTCCTAGTTTTCATCTATTTCGCCACAAATTTCATTTCCAGTTGATAGTGGACACACCTCGCGCCATCGACATGGAGACGATGTTTGAGTCGCATCCGACACACCCGTTAACGGTTTGGGGTCGATCTCCGCAGAAGCTTCCGAGCGATAATCTTTTTTACCTTTACCTTCCCCTAATCTTGCATTACCTAATACCACTTTTCCCGTTTTGCCTGTATTGTTATGCTTGTAACAATGCAGCAACGTTCCCCGGCCAGCCGGTAGGCAGCTTCTCGATTTTGACGAACTTACTACAA